AATTAGCAAGGCAACATTGAGGAGCCAAACCACTTTCAGCAGCAGGTTCTATTTTTGAAACACTTCTTCATGGGGGAAGGGGTAGGGGAGAGCAGGATTTGGTTTCCACATCTCTGATGTTTTTATTTGGATTTCAATGTGCTCCTAAGCATCTGAACTTGTTTGCCATTTGTAAAATTATATCAAAGCTCTTGCAGCCTCTAATAAGGGGTGGTTTAGGATAAGGAGCCAACAGCTGAATAGTGTTTCTTTCAGATTCTAGAATATGCACATAATCTGTAGGGAAATTGATTTGATAAAGCACTGAAGGCTGCAGAAGCTTGGAAAACAGTAGGTGGAGAAGAAGACAGCAGAGTGGGGCCAGGGCTTGAGCTAACAAGTACCCTGCACTGTAGATCCATTTAGCCTGGAAATACACGGTTTGAAAGGACTCAGCTACCCCTGTCCTTTTGTCTTCTCTGCCTCTTGTTTTTATTTCTTCTTTTTCTCCAGCCTCTCTGTGCCAAGATCATTTTGAGTCATCTTATTATTTCATCTTTCCTATGGTAAGTGTCCTCATTTGTTTCATCTTGTTTTCATTTTGCCAGTCTTCTCCTTTCAATCTGATTGAGTTGGTTTTCAAAAAGTTATTCTTTTATAATCTAGAGACTCCTGCATAATTTCCAAGATCAATGAAATTCAGTACAGCAGATTTATTCTTTCATTCAACATTGTTTTGATGTAGCTCTTACTGTGAGCCAGATACTTTGCTAACTCAACAGGATGCCACCTTTCTGAGTTTACCAACTTTACCCCTTAGGTTTCATCTGGTTAGGGGTATGTAATACAGTAGCTTCTGGACTAGTTTACTGGTTTATCCCAACCACTGTTTATACCGAATCAAGCACTCTATAACAGATACTTAAAACGAGCAAAGAAGTCTTTGTAATGGACCCTCTGAACAAAAGGAGAAAAAGGCATTAGTCATCCACCTCCTTATTTCCCCTGATCTAATGTAGGGTAATCTCATCTGAACATCTGATCCTTGCCGTTGATGTGACTGACCGTGGATGATGGGCTAATGATTCTTCCTGGACCATGGAGGTTATACAGTCACACTCCTCCTCAAAGAAGCAGATGGAGTCAGAGAGTCTGGTGGGTTTCATGACCCTGCAACTGCTCCAGCCCATGACTAGGCTCGAGATTTTGGGCAGTGCTGTCTATTGGAAGCAAATTCACTCTGGATAGAGAGACAATCCTTCAGTAGTCACGATAGTCTATATTGTTGGGTGGGGTGGGCTTAAACCTGTGCACCCCCCAAAAGGTAAGTTTAAGTCCTCTAACTCCCAGTACTTCAGAATATGACTATATTTGGAAATAGGCTTATAGCAGATATGATTGGTTAACATGGTCATACACAAGCAGTGCGGGCCCTTACTCAACATGGCTGGTGTGCTCACAAAGAGAGAAGAGACACAGAGGAGAGAGTCCCATGTGATTAGGGGGCAGAGACTCATGTCCTGCAGCTGAAATCCAATGAGCACCAGCTACCTGGAAACTAGGAAGAGGTAAAGAAGGATTATACTCTACATAGCTCAGAGTGACGGCGGCCTGGCTGGCATTGGATCTTAGAATCCCAGGCCTCCAGAACTGTGAGACAATGCATGTCTGTTGTTTAAAATCCATCAGTCAGTGGGTATTAGATATAGCAGGCCCAGGAAACAAATGTCCTGTGTTTGCCAAGATGCCATGGCCCAGCTACTCTCTATCCACTTCTCCAGATATGTTTTCAGGTTGCAACTTCAAGGATGATATTATATCCCCATCTTGGACAATGAGCAGATTGATGATCGCTTGCTATAAAAGCGGTGACTTCTCCAAGTTTAGCATTCCTCAACTGTGACATAAACGTACTACATCCATCTGCATCACTTTGTGTCAACTCTATGCGGACTTGGCAGGGAAATGGAACCAATGCAGTCACGCTGCTTGCTGAGCCATGGATGTTGTGTCTTCTACCACCATCTATGACAGAGTGACAGGCTAACTTATTAACTTGTAAGTTCACTTGTAAATAAGATGCAGTTCATTTTTGAAGTCTATTATATTGAAAAGCCTAATATAGGTACCTTGTCTTTAAGGAGCTTGGAGGTAGGATATACACACAAGCTAAATAACCAACAGGACAACATGAGGTGCCATGGGGGGTGTTTCAGGGATTGATCTAACATGCCTTGTCTCAAGTGCTGGCATGTATAATAAAAGTTTGGGTTTTTTTTTTTTTAAGATTATTCATACATACAGAACTGGGTATAGGTCAGGGTGCAGGGGCAGTAAGAAGATTCACCAGAGCCAGAGTGGGGAGCAGAATAGGCAGATTGACTAAGTACACTGCTGAGAGAAGCAGCAGGCAAGACAGGAGAGGTCTGCTGTGCCATATGGGTCACCTCCAGGGGATGGAACTTGCACTGAAGCTCCTGCAGCTAGCCTCCAGTGCTGCTCTTTAACCCGCTGCACCACCAGGGAGGGCTATATAATGAGTTAGGGAGTAGAAGAAAGTGCTGTGGAATGAGTGGAAAAGCTTGCAGTGGAGCAACAAAGTGGGTGTTTGGAATGTCTGGCATTTGAATAGTAATGTGTACTGAGAGCACAGGATTTGGGGAGCAGGTTGTTAATATGAGCTTCCTCTGAGATTGTGGTATTTTGCTGAGAACTCTTTGATAGCAGGGGTCTATATATTTGCCATCTCCACTAACAACTTTTTAAGGGAAGTGAATGTTTTATTTATTGTTCAACTATTAGACATCTGTCACCTAGCAGGCATGCAGTCATTGGTGAGTCAACAGATGAATGGGTGAATATATGGATGGGTAATGCTTGAAACTGTAATTTAACAGAGTAGATTGAATATATGTAACAGGAGGACAGTTTGAAGCCTGGTGCCACCATGGGGAAGAATTTGAATGTCCAGGGAGGGAGACTAGAAAGAAGACTGGGTCACCATTAGCCAAGGATAGAGGTGACTTCAGAGAGGTATTTTAAGAAGATTTATTTAACCAGGATGAGCACATACATGAAGGATGAGCCAAGAGGGAAGCCAGCTAAAGGAACACTATGATTACCCAGATCTCGGGGTTCTCTGAGATGCCCACTATCACTCCAGTTTTCACAAGATCCATGCGGTGTGACACAGCGAATTAGGATCATGCTCCTTGTGAGTCAGCGGGGACACGGGACAGGGAGCCAGGATCTCTGTCAAGTCACATTATCACAGGGCACTAAGAGGGATGGTGATTGGCTGGCTGCCTGGCCTCCTGCGCGACCTTAGGATTCCTCAGGATTCACTCCCCTCTGCAGAGAGCTCTGTGATGAGTGGGAATCAGATGGCAACTTTGCACATGGTCATTATCACAGCAGAGAGGAGGATCCCAAGAGGCAGGAATGGAATTAGCGGTTGCTGGAGGTTTGGCAAGGATGCAAATGTCACTCCCACTGCTCAGCAGCTGCCGTACCAGGACCTCAGGACCTGGCACACTGTAGAGAGACAACTTAGCCCAACTTCTAGAACTTTAGGTGCAATGGATTCATCATTGGGACAGAAGGAGGCTATAGGATTAATTCAAAAAGCAACCAGTAATTGTAGCAATAATTGTTTTAAATTCTGTAGATACAATGCAGCCTATTATGATTTACTGCTCCCTCCCATTCTTGGTGGTGTCAAACAGACACAGACAGTAGTGAAAGGTAATAAAGAGACCTTATTCAGTACCACTGCAAAAGAGGAAAGAGACTTTGGATTTGCTAAGATCAGTTCCAAACTCAGCAAAGCAAGCTGGTGATTTGTAGCTTATGAGCAGAGCAAAACTCTTGTTACAGATGAACGGGCCGGTCAAGGAGCGAGCCAGAAGAGGAAGCCAAGTTGAGAGTGGTGTCAACACCACCTGCCTGAGGTGGACTACCAAGGAGTGTCTTTGTCAGGGCCCAATGCCCCGGACTTGAAGTTATACAGGTGATATGAGCACCTTCTAGAAACAAGGAAAACACCACTTAAAGAGGGCTTCTTTTTAAAATTTCCCAATCTTATAATCAGAAAACCCAAAGCATCATTAGTCATTTCATCAGTGTTATGAATAAATAATAAAAACTGTGAAGCCAACTTGTACATGACACAATTTGTCAATCTGACTTTATAGCTAATCTTTGGTGCTTTCACCAGGCAGCTTCTCACTAATTTTCTTACTATAGGAGCTTGCATGACTTTGAGTTTGTGTCCAGATCAGGAGAGCAAAATTTTTCCTTTACAGGGTTACTGATGAGCGTTCTCTTGCCACCTGGTACCCTCAGGCAGCAAGTCAGTCAGAGTGAAGCTGTGCTCAGGTGGAAACCATGTCCTTGATTCAGGGGCAGTGCTGGCCATTCGCCTCACCTCGGGCCTAGACTTCTCTTCCCAAACTTGAGCCTGCTTCAGATAGATGTGGAGAAAAATGGGGAGGATGGTAACAGAGCTTTACTTGAAAGTAGAGGATTTACTGAGGAGAGCGAGAGGCCAGGAGAAAAGTCTCTCCCTTAGCATAGCTGCAGCTTTAAGAGCAGAATTGCAGAGCAAAGCAATTCAGGTGGGGGCTTGTGTTGTAGCAAGGGAAAAGACATGGGGAGCGCTAAGAAGTGGCACTGAGGGGCTAAATCCTACCTCTTAATGTTTAGTAGATGCAGGGAAAAAATTTGGAAACTTGCAAATAATTTTACTGTTGAACTGTGGCCTTGTGAGGCAGCAGGCCTTGCGGCTAGCCTCGGGGGTCCGACCTGGCTCATCCTAGAGTTACATTTAGAAACCGTTAGTTTGGGTACAAAGTTGATCGTTATGTCCCTTTAACCCAGACTGTATAGCAATTAAGCAGCTTCAGTTTCTAAGCCACACCTATGCAGGTAAGTTGATGCCTTGCCTCTGCAAGCTAAGCTTGAAGGCAGCCACCAGTTCTCAAGTGAGAATGAAAGGAGTTGACAGCTGTCTCTGAGATACCTCTGGATGGTCACACACAGAACACCTAAAAATGGACCAAGAAAACAGTGATGCTTCACCCAAACCCTCTGGTGTGGATGTAAGTAGAGCGTGGGAAGCTTCTCTCTTACTTGAAGGCCAGTTATTGTTGATCCTGTTAGTAAAATGAGACCATTTTTCCTTATAAAAATAAGAGGAACAATAACAAAATGCTTTATCTTCCTATGATACTTTAATGGATTTTACAAATGTGACCTTGTTTTTTTTAAAGTGCTATACTTGGCAATTGATTTGAAGTTGTTTTCCTAAAACTCTAGGAAAATTGTACTGATCTCTACACAAATTCCATTTTAAAATTTAATCAGTACCAACTGAGACTGCCTGTAATGTGTTCCACTGTTGAGACAAAGCTAGCCCTAGTCAGGCCTACGTGAGCTAGCATCTGGGTGTGCTTCTTTTCATCTTTTGCTTCTTTGTGGGAGTATTTTTAAGTAGTTTGACACCAGGTCAACTCATCCTACAAAAGAGTGTTTTTTCTCTTTAGAAACATCCTCTTCTCTCCTACAGGATGCCCAATTAAATGAGATCTTGTCTAGTTCAATTTCACCAGGAAGGAATAAACTCCATATCACTCCAGAGGTTGACAAAGGTGTTGGGCAAAAGAATGAGATAGCCATGAATAATTCAGAATGTACTTAGCCACATATTGTCCCTCTAACTGGTGGGATTAAAGAGAGAAGACATGCACTCTGAAGGGAAGAGTGAGGGACAATAAGAGAAAATGATGGAATTCTTACAAGAACTCTTGAGATTATTCCTTTGGACTTGGTGTCCTAGACTGCTGTCTCTAAAAGAATGTATGGTTAAAAGTTATTTCACCACTGGAGTTTAGTTACCCGGACATGTATAAATCTCTCCTTCCGAGAAGCTAAACTTTCACATGCACCATTAATGAATTTACAGCATCAAGTGACAGAAGAGAGAGGAGGGGGAATAAGAAACAGATAATACACTTTTCCCCTTACATATAACACTGCACATCAATACACTAAAAGCAATAATTTTCTAATTTAATAGGGGTCCTCTCATTCTTTAATTTCTTTTTACTGTTTTTTGTTTTTTTTTCAATTGAGGTAACATTGACTTACAACATTGTATATGACTCAGGGCAGATGTTCACACCCCTTCAGATGTATATTACCACTCCACACCCACCTCCAAGTCACCCATAAAACATTTTTCGTTTATGATTGAGAAACTGGTGATTAATTTATTGGCCATCTTAAAGTACACATCTGTAAGACAATGATAAACTAAGCATGTTGATTCCTATCCTACAATCCTGTTGAAAACCAGAACATCGCCCATAACTTTTTCTTCCTCCCACTCAGTCACGAATATGGAAATTAGGAGTGTCTGTGAGGAACTCACTTGCATTCTTAACTTCCAATCCTGTCTAAGCTAAAGTAGTTAGTTGTGGGAGAAAAGCTATGTAATACAACAGCTTCCTACAGCTGCCTACATTTGGGTGGACCTCCCGACCTGCAGCTCCTCTAGCCTGCGTCTCACGAGACTCAGGTCTTTCTAGCGGAATTAAAGACATGGGGAGAAACCCTGAAACCATTTTGCTAGTGTTCTATTAATGCCTGGTGTTTCTGATCATAATTGTGATTTGATGCAAGTTAATTTATAGTGCTTATGTAAGTAGTTTGATGTATTTAGATGTTTTAGCTTCCCTGACTTGATGGTTCCCTCTTAGCTCTAGCCTACTTGTAATTGATAATACAGCTTTATTTATTTACTTATTTATTTACTTTTTGCAGATATCCAACATTTCAGTTCAGGTGGTCAGTGCCCAAGGGAAGCTACCAGGGAGGCGACCACCGCGAAGGCCCATCAGCAAAGTCAGACCCAAGAAACAACCCAAGAAGAAAACTCCTTTTTGGAATGTCCAAAACAAAATCATTCTCTTCACGGTATTTTTATTTGTCCTAGCAGTCATCGCCTGGACACTTCTGTGGCTCTACATCAGTGAGTGAAAATCTGTCTTCCCCTGGGGAAGGCTTGCCTCATGAATGTTTCTGATAAGAGTTTCCTATTTCCCAGACAGTAGCCATTTCCTAAACTGTTGGTGTTTTAAGAAGAAAGGAACCAGAATTATTTTCTCTATTTCTTCTTTTACCACCACTGTTTTCCTCCGAAAGAAGAACAAGAAGATGAGAGGAGGGGGTAGGGTGAGAAGAGCTGAGGGGGAAGCTCAGGCAGATCAGAAATGTAGTGCACTTACAGCTTTTAAAAAATGAATGCAAAGCCACACTCTTTCACTTCCTTATCCACCCACCTCCTGTTTCCAGGCAACCTTACATTCTAGACCCAGAGTCTCATTCTACTCAGGCATCTTTCGCTTCTGTTTTTATTGATCTGATTGGTTATGTTGTTATCCATTAGCTGGATCCTTTTTCACCAGAGGAATAATCAAGCTTGTTCGTAAGTAGTTTTATCATACAACTCAGTAATTATGGCATTTACGCAGGTTGGGCTTCCCCTCCTATACATGTGAATATATTTGTTGCAAGCTAGGTGTGCTTTCAAGGGTGTTACAATTGAGTTGGAAAGCAAGATTTATGGGCAAAGAACTAATGAATAATGCCTTGAACAGTTCAGGTCCCTTACAGATCTACAAATTAATCACATGTAATTTGTGTGGCACAGTGTAAGACACGCATCAGTATGTACCACTACCTTCCAAAAGCTCACAGACGCATTTTCTTCTTTCAAAAAAATCACAGTTCAGTGCATAGAGGGAGTGTGAGAGAATTTTTTCCCCCTTAAGCAATTGCTTTATAATCACAGAAGAGAGGAATCCAGCATGCCCAGGACTGAACTCCCAGGAAGGTTTCATGAACTCGTTCTTGAATTTGACACATCTTAGAAGGCTAGTAAGAGCTGGCACTGTGACAGGAATGGGAATAGAGTAGAAGACAAGAGAAGAATCACTGTCCTCAAGGAACTTCCAGACTAGTGCAGGAAGTCATTTCCAAGGATGAGTAAGACAAACAACACACACGTCCCCAAGCCAGAGCAAGCTGACTTATGTCCCATCAGTTCTCTCAGGGTCCTCAACTGATAAATTTGAATCATCCTAGCATGTTTGTATAAAGTCTAGGCATGTGATTGTATAGAAGCAGAAGGGCATTTCAGGAAGATGCAAAGGGAAACTGGCATGAACAAACAAGATTTGTTTAACAAACAACAGAGGTTAGTTCTGATACTTGAAATTTGGACACGGGGGTGTCCTGCTCCCTGAACGCCAGGTGGGGCTAAGGAATTAGATAAATACAATGGTTCAAGGCTAACTGGATTTCCCTGGCATTACTGTTATCCTGGCTCTAGAGTACTTAGTGATATGGGAAGAATGTGCAATCTTCTAGACATAAGACAAAGCTTTTACTTAAACTTCATTGAGTTTGGATTAACAACAAAAATCTAAGAAGCCCTACTCTGGTAAAATCAAAAACAAAAAATAACTGTTTTACATGGGAGGTCTAATAGGGCAATGTGATCAATTCCAAGGCAATGCAACTTGAAAGAACAATCTAGAACAATCAGGCTTCCTGCCCCTTCGTGCAACTCCACCATCACGCTCTACTATATGAGGCTGTCGTGACCTGGATGGTCATACAATCATACAAAGAAGGTTACTTCCTCCTTTTTGACATAGTTTGCACCTTCTTTTTTTTTTTTTTAAAGATTTATTTATTCATACAGAACTGGGGTACAGGCCAGAGATGTGGAGGGTGAGAGGATTCACCAGAGACAGATTGGGGATCAGAACAGGCAGATCGACGAAGTACACTGCTGAGCGGAGCAGCGGGCGGGTCAGGAGAGGTCTGCTACGCCATGTGGATCTCCTCTGGGGCAGGCGGGGATCGAACTCATGCAGAAGTGGCTCAAGCTCTTTTGTGCTGCGCTCTAACCCGCTGTGCCACCAGGAAGGGCCTGCACCTTCTTTTTTAATACAGCTACCACTTGCTTAGCAACTCCATGTGCTGAGCATTGTGTTAAGAGAGACTATTCTCTCCCTTTCTTCCCTACCATTTTTCCCTCTTCCTTCCTTCCCACAAACATTTATGGGCTTCAGAGAAGCCAGGAACTTGACTTTGTTATGAGCCAAGAGACAAAGGAAGTGATTGTCAGTCTAGAAGGATAGATACTCTGACAGAAACTGTAAGTGAGCAGAGTCTCCAGCAGCCTGGGGGATGGTGCCTTACAGGAGGAAGACCTTGGTAACAAAGAGAAAAAGGAAAAAACACTCCTTCATCTTCCTTGTGCTAGTCTCAGGTGCCCAGATTAACTTGGGAAACAGTGGCCTCTCTGTCCAACCTGGACAGTTCCTGGTCAGCCCTGACATCAGCTCCCTGTCCTCATCATGCAGAGTATTTGAGCAGCTGTGACCTGACACTGGACTGAGAGCCACACTCTGGCTCATTAGCAGGATGAATTTCTCCTCTTCCCAGGGCTGAGGACCAGCCCAGCTCCCTGGGCACCAGCCATACATGTGACCTAGGAGAACTCAGCCATGGTGTATGGGGCCCTGCCCTGCCTTTCCACTGTGCCCACTTTACCTCAGAGCCTGAAGCTAAAGTTTTTTTTTTAAAGATTTATTTATTTATTCATACAGAACTGGGGTATAGGCCAGACGTGCAGGGGGTGAAAGGATTCACCAGAAACAGAGTGGGAAACAGAACAGGCAGGTCATCCAGAGTACACTGCTGAGGGGAGCAGCAGGCAGTTCAGGAGAGGTCTGCCGCACCATGTGGGTCAGCTCCTTGGCTGGGGATCGAACTTGTGCTGCAGTGGCTGTGGAGAGCTTCATAGTGCTGTGCTTTACCTGTTGTGCCACCAAGGAGAGTCCTAAAGTTAAAGTTTTCATTGCCTCCCACAGTCTTGCAATCCATGAAAATTGTTTATGTTCTTTTTGGTCCCTGAGTGGCTCTATGACATATGCAGAGTCAAAGAGGCTGATCTTTTACTTTTTGATACTGTTTTTAAGTATTTGCCAGAGCCTTAGAGAAAAAATTGTAGATTCTAAGGGACAAGGTGATAAGCTGCTGATGAGAGAGATGCGATTGCCTATATTCAGAGCTTCCCAGGCTGTGAACCAGAGCGGGAGCCTGCTAACTGTCTTTTCTCCTGCCTCCTAGGTAAGACAGAAAGCAGAGATGCCTTTTACTTTGTTGGAATGTTCCGCATCACCAACATTGAGTTTCTTCCTGAACACCAACAGAAGGAGTCCAGGGAATTCCTGTCAGTGGCCCGGACTGTGCAGCACGTGGTGAGGTCATAGGGAGAAGTGAGAAGCTGTGGAAGGTGGCATCAGGGGCGTGGGGTGGGGTTCAGAGGTCACAGTGGCACAGGTGAGCAGGGTGGATGGAGGAGCAGTCAGAGGGAAACAGGATTCAGCTCATCTTGGCTGTCAGAATTTCTTATTTATGTGTTTCTCATCCAAAAATGAATAAAAATAGTTCTCTGAACATAGGAACTAAAACAGGTGATTAAGGATTAATATAGGTGTGAGATAAAGGAATTAAAATGTTCAGAACTGAAATGACGCACATACTGATTAATTCTGTACATACTCAATTCAGTCTTGGTGCACTGACTTTTCTTCACTGGGGGAAAAAACAACTTTCTCATATAGAACTAAAATATTTTTATTGAGAAAATTTATAAAAATCAGAAAAGCATAAAAAAATTAGAAAACTATCTTTAATCTCATCGTCAGAAGTAGCACCCCTTTTATTCTGGACCACCCAGACGAAGAACAATATCAAGGAGTGGCTATTGACGGTTTCGATGTGATTTTCTCCTCTTCACATTGGGTTTTAAGTATCTATGCAAGTAAATATTATTGAAACCGTAAGTCTAAATGGCCAAAAAGTTGGCAAATCCCTTTCCCTCGGATATTTATGCGGTTTTCAACTGTAGCTGTTTGGAAAGTGCTGCAGTAAAACCGCCACATGCAGGGTGTGCCTCGCGATGACTTCTCCAGGTAGTTCCTATAAGTATACCCTGTCAGACGGCGGTGCATGTGGCCAACCAGAAGGTCTCTGCCACCTTGTGCAGGGTGAGAGGGAGGCAGGCACAGCAGGGACTTCTGCAGGGACAGGCGGGCTGCCAGGCAAATGAAGGAAGCTGAGAGAGGGCGAAGCAGAGAAGGCAAGATGGGCGCACTGCCTCTTTCCTGAAGCCCTTCTGTCGACTGAGCATGCTGCTTATCTCTTTACCTTTAATATGTATCAATTATTCCTCATATTAGCCCAGCACAAACCTTTTCAAAAAAGGAAGAAAAAGAAAATCCAAAAGTGGAGGCTCCATAGGTTTCGTTAAAGTGGTCTGTGCTGCATAGTGAATTTAAATTCCACAGTTTAGATATATGTTTTTTTCATTGTGGAGTATTATTTCTAAAATTTTTTTATTTACCCTCTCCCAAGTAATTGGGTGGGTGATTTTGCTGTTATGTGGAAAGGGGAATAGAGAAGGAGGCAAATTGGCAGCAAAGAGTCCATTTGGTAAATGCCAAGCAAGGGCAGAGAAGGTCAACTGATAGAAATAGCTCTTTTGAGATGCAGTGATGGAGTTCTGAAAGGGCTGGGTGCTTCCATGGAGACCCGGGAGAGGGGACGGGGGATGGTAGACCCGACTGTGGGCACACCTGCCACCTAGTGGCTAGAGAGGGAACTGTCCTTAAGAACAATACATTTCAAGACCTGCATTGACGTAAAATGGGAGATTCAGCCACATTGAAAATGTGCTTAAAGGGTTTTGATTGCTACAGGAAATCAGAATTTATTCGAATTCAATAAATAATGTCTGCATTTGGAGTTAGAGGTCTTTAGCTTGCTCCTGGCTTTTCTCCTCGTTAGCTTCAACCTACCGCACATCAGATACCACATGAGGAAGCCACTTCTGACACATTTTTCTTTTTTCAGGTAAACTTGGTTTACACAACTTCTGCCTTCTCCAAATTTTACAAGCAGTCTGTGGTTGCAGATGTGAGGTAATGATGGCTGCTTGCTTAGTGATTCTATGTTCACTGCTGTGAACTCTGAATGCTTGGAAGAATTAAAATATCACCCTTCTCAAGTAATTTTTGGGGGGCACTTGTGAGTCAATATCCTTTTAGCACAAGCAGATACCCAACCCTTTGTCCTGCTTCCACTCTGAATTTTTCTCTTTATTTACCAAGCTTTGCTCTCTCCCCATAACCCAGATCCTGGGCCCTGGCATTATTATCACCAGGCAAAAAGGCTAAGTTGGGGTGAGGGAGGGGGAGTACAAATTCAATGCAGCCCAGCATTTCTTAGAACATGCTCAGCCAAAAATTGGTCATGAGTGATCTGAGGGAAAAAGAATCTCATTGTTAAATAACCTGAAGGCAACTGATTGTGCACCATGAACGTATCCCACTTTTCCTTATCCCTAATAGACCGTAGAGACTCATAATCCATTTTCGTATGTTAAAGGTGCTGAGGAGTCTTATTAGAGTAAATTTTGTTTACTCCCAGCTCCCACCTTACTTACGGTATAGCACCATCTTATGTTTGTCTCATAAAACCTGACAATATTCGTGCAGCCGGTAACTCCTACTCTAGAGTTAAACTGAAAACCAAATTGGGCTTGATGCCTGGATTTGCTACTTTTACTACCTGTGTCACTTTGAATCATAGCTGGTGTTAATTTCCTCAGCTATAAAACTGAAATAATAATAATGTTCCTAGTAATAACTTTCCTCACCAATTAAAATGAGATAAGGCAGATTTAGCACAATGTCTGGACATGGGTATCAAAAATTAGAAATGCTAATTTCTTCTAATCTGGTATTATTATTGTCACCACAGAAATGTATATTCCCCATAGAGATGCAACTATGCAGTAATGGCTGTAGCTCTGTACCCAAGACAAGAAGGCATATCCATGATGCTTTGCCTTCCCAAACACCATAATTGGAGCCATGACTTCTTGACAAAGGACACTAGGTTCAGTTGGGGATGTGTGTGCTGGTCTCCCTTGGAGTCTGTCAACTGGTCATTGGTTCCCTGTGAAAGTCTGTTTCTTAGAGTTATTCTTGAACATCGTTCTTTTTTCACTGTAGCAGCAACAACAAAGGTGGACTTCTTATCCACTTTTGGATTGTCTTTGTCATGCCACATGCCAAGGGCCATATCTTCTGTGAGGACTGCGTGGCTGCCATCTTGAAGGACTCCATCCAGACAAGTATCATAAACCGGACCTCTGTGGGGAGTTTGCAGGGCCTGGCTGTGGATATGGACTCTGTGGTACTAAATGGTGATTGTTGGGTAATTTTCCTTTCAGTGTTTCTTTCTGTAGCACTGATGATACTGCCACTGCTATAGTCAACATTGTGATAAAGTGTTTTTCACAATGCCAGTGGAACAGGATTAGTTGAAGGGTAGAGCAGTCCTTTACATTGATAAAGGATCTTGCTATGTGTCATATATATATGGTGATTAAGCAGTAGCAGTGGGATCCATATATATGAAATTGGATTTATTAAGTACACTATATTTAATTTGTCTTCATGCCTCTTCAAATGAAATCTCCAAGAACCAAGGACCTGGAGAAGGAAGAATTTTGCTGAGGTTTATTTTGTCTCTTCCTTGTCCAGACAACTGCACCCATGTTATTTGGGTTTCCTGATGCTCCAAAACAGTCTGCTCCACATTCCTGTCACATGCACAATTTGTCTCATCCTCATAGTTACATGGTTTATTGTGTAAGCCAAAAACTATATAACTTTATCCTTTTTTAAAAAAAAAAAAAAAGATTTATTTGTGCATACAGAACTGGGGTAGAGGCCAGAGGTGCAGGGGCAGTGAGAGGATTCACCAGAGACAGAGTGGGGAGCAGAACAAGCAGATCGATGAAGTACACTGCTGAGGGGCTCATGGGAGTGCCAGGAGAGGTCTGCTGTGCCATGTGGTCACATCCGGGGCAGGTAGAGATAGAACTCATGCTGAAGTGGCTTTAGCTTCTTAGTGCTGTGCTTTAACCCACTGCGCCACCAGGGAGGGCCCAGCTTTATCTTTTTTGCTTAAATTTTATATTATGCTAGGCATATAGCGGGTGGTTGAAAAGAACTTGTTAAATGAATGAGTGGAAAATTCTGTATAACATATATACTATTTTGGATACAGGACTAATTACAATCATGTTTGGTTGCTTTTCAACCTTTAAGTATGTTTAAAACATGTTTCTATAAGTTACTTAAAGCATATACAAGTGAAGAGAATAGTGTAATGAACTCTCATATATATATTTTTAGCATCAGTAACTATTAGCATGTGGCTATTCTATGTGATCTCTAATTATTTAAACAATCTTTCCTATTCTCATTGTATTAGTTTAAAGCATATTCAGATATGTTGGATTTTTTTATTGGAGGAAATATATATGCATTTTTAAAGATTTATTTATTTATGCATAAAAGACTGGGGTGTAGGCCAGAGGTGTGGGGGTAAGAGGATCCACCAGAGGCACAGTGGGGAGAAGAATAGGCAGATCTACTGAAATATACTGCTGAGGGGAGCAGTGGGGGAGACAGGAGAAGTCTGCTGTGCCATATGGGTCAGCTTCCTTCCCCAGGGGTTGAACTCATGCTGCAGTGGCTGTGGGTAGCTTACTAATGATTTTAACCCCTGTGCCACCAAGGAGGCCCCTGGAAAGAATATATTTTTACTAAGAAAAATTCTACTACAATGCAGTGCTGGGACCAAGATTCTTTTTAAAATGTTTTTTTTTTTCATTGCAGCTGGACTTCGGTCAGACTATTCTTCAACCATAGGACCTGGTAAATTATGTCATGTGTATTTCCTCCCTCCTGTATTCCAAATCACTATTCTTTTTGGTGATAGTTTTCCTTTTCAAATGATGATTTTTTTTTTAAACTTCATCCTCTAGTTGCAAATGACAGAAATATACTCAAACTGGCTTAAACACACACACACACACACACACACACACACAAAACTTGGTTGACTCCTATAACTAGGATCTACATGGAGTGTGCTGGCTTCAGGCATGGTTGGGAGGGACCTTACTATAATGGAAAATATCACCAGCACACTGCATCTTTGCTTTCTCCTATTGAGGCTTCATAAAGTGTATCCTTCTAATATGGTGATGCTCATGGTCACCAGCAAATCAAAGCTTATTATTTAGCTGTTTAGAAACCACCCTGGAATAACCCCACAGTTCTTGTAGAAGCCTTGGGGCTTTCTCATTGCCTTGCATTGATGGACATGCCCCTCCCTAAAACAGCCCTTTTGACTCTGATCTGCCAATCTGGGTCTTGGATTTGTCCTTGAGCCTAGAGGTGAGTTTAATCCCAACCAAACCCTCTAGGTAGGGGAGGGACAGCTTCTCAAAGTAAAATCTAGGTGCCGTTGCCAGGAGGGAGGGAAATGGACTTTTGTCTGGTAAAGACAGCAGATGACCTCTGTGTGCCTCTTTTGTTCTTTACTCTTTTATAAAGATTCCTAGGGAAGCCATTGCTAGAACAAAGTGCTGTCTCCACAGACAGAGGTTGTTCTCAGCACTTCTCTGCTGATCAGCCTTCTCTCCGCTACCCTCTGGAGGTCTCTGCAACCTCAGGGAGGCTGATGTGTCACTTCAAGCTGGTGGCCGTCGTGGGCTATCTGATCCGTCTCTCCATTGAGTCCATCCAGATGGAAGCTGACAACTGTGTCACTGACTCCTTGACCATTTACGATTCCCTCTTGCCCATCCGGAGCACTGTCTTATATAGGTATTTAGGAAGGCATGCTGGTTGGGAGTGGAAAAATCTTTTATAACAATATGTTTTACAGTATCTGTTTCTCCTTGGATTTGTTTTAACCATGTTGATGTACATGCATGCGATCAAAGATTTATACATGCTAGATGTAGTACCCATGATATTAGCCAGAGCCAGTGAGACTCAGTGATTGGTTTTCTCGGATAGCAGATGAGAGTTAAAATCAGTGCATCAGAATCTGCAGTCAGCAGTTCTGGAATATAAGGGTTTTGGGGTTTAATTTTACTTTTATGACTCACTATCACATCTACAGTTTTAATAATGTGATAGTAGATACTCTATGTTGATTAAATAGCATTTCTGAAACAATTAGAAAATGTTTCCTTATTATGAAGATGATGCAATGTTCATCCTAGAAAATGAGGTCAGAGGAAACATTATCAATTATTTCCCAATCCCATTACCCAGAACAAATATCTGTTGTATTTTTGCATCTGTCCTTTCATTCAAATGTTTATAGTATACTTACCTACATATAGACTACCCATATATACACATATGTATATATATACACATATCCTAATATTGTTTATTGACTTGTATGAGTGCTTAATATTTTGATAACCTTCTAATGCTTAATATTGTGATAACCTAATAATAAAAACCTGTTAGATTTCATGAAGAATTTACTATTTGTTACCCAGTGTGCTGAACAGGCACATGTGTTATGTTATTGTTCTTCATAGCACTTATGGATTGCTGCTGGGTATGTATGTATTTATATTTTGGCGTGAATGCATATGTTAAAAATTCATAAGTAATATAAGGCCCTGCAGTGAAAAGTAAGTTTGTTGTTCACTCCTTTTCTTTCATCATTGACAGTGGTTTCTTTTCATCTTTCTGAGTATTTAATTGTCTTATTTAACTATCACCACAATGTTATAAGGAATATACTTATTACTGCTGCCATTTCATAGTCAGGAAACTGATGTGTAGGAAGATCTAGTGACTTCATTGCCCAAGTCTGCCAGCTAGTTAATTGGCAGAGCTGTGTTTTAAACTCAATTTTCTTTAGAGCTAAACCTGTAACTTTATATTTGATGTGCTCTCAAGGAGGGCCCAGCAATGGCGATGCATGAGAATTCCTATGTAGCTGCTGCACAGAAATTTCTGTACCTTTATCAGCCTCATCTATCTCCCTTCATGGCCAACGTGAAGTCCCAGATGGCAGTGTGACCTGGGGGGCCACATGGATGTCTGGGAAATGCGTGGAGTTAGTGGTGGAAGAAGTGCATTCTTCAGTTACTTATTAGATATGTATTTTTATTTTGTTATGTGGTTTCAGAATTTGTGAACCCACCAGAACATTGATGTCATTTGTTTCCACCAATAATCTCATGTTGGTGACATTGAAGTCTCCGCAGATATGGAGACTCTCAGGAATCCGGGCATATTTTGAAGTCATCCCAGAACAAAGTAAGTGATCCTCAATCGGAAAAAATGTCACCTCTACAAATATTTGTTCTGATGCTGCAGTCTGATCTCTTCTGAGACTGTGTGGTTGTACAAGTTGTATTGGTTCAGAGGTCCTAGGTCAGAGTCGAGTCAAAACAGAGATGTCATATTAATTTTGCTTTTTTTTTTTAAAAGATTTATTGATTTATGCATACAGAACTGGGGCACAGTCCAGAGATGCAGGTGTGGTGAGAGAATTCACCAGAAACAGAGCAGAGTCAGGATAGGCAGATCGACAAATTACACTGCTAAGAGGCACAGCTAGTGAGACAGGAGAGGTCTGCTCTACCATGGGGGTCACTTCTGGGACTAGGGATATAACCAGCACAGAAGCAGCTGCGGCTAGCTTGCAGTGCTGTGCCTCAACCCATTCCACCACCAGGGAAGGCCCCATATTAATTTTCTAACAGAATTTAATGTAAGGAACTGTTAATTCAGTTATGAAGTTGTTATTTAGGTAACTCAATAGGTATAGTAAAAGCTGTAAGGTTTCATGAATGCAATATGTAGGAGTATCGACCACCCATAATTCTGGGGCCACAAGGAAAGTGCTGGAATGATTACATTTTAGAGCTTGGAGGAGGGGTTTGTGTACTGAGCTCAGACCTCTGTGGAGGTTTGTGTTCAGCTTCTAAAGAGTTGGGACCTAGGTCTTTGACAAGGTGTTAGCTTGCTGAGGGTAGTATCTTTGAGGAAGATTTGATAAAGTGGACATTGAAGGGAAATGCTACAACCCTACTCTAGAAAGGAAGTGTCACAGCAGGAGCTAAGAAGCCTCCCAAGTTGACACTCTCAGGAAGAGGAGAAAGACAGGAAGTAGCTTCAGCCCTGTCGCGGGCTCCCACACCCTGCCCATTTAGTGCCCTACTGGTGTCTTATCAGGAAGCCAGGTGGTATAAGAGGGAAGGGTTTGAAGAGCCCCAGCGCCAGCCCCAGCATTCCAGAGCAGAGGAGGAATGGGCTGGAGTGGAGAGAAATGGCTCTTAACAAGTTCAATAGACGGTGGTTTTTCTGTGAATTTTCACTTATAATTATTTCATGTGAAAGCTACCCTAGAATTTGCTGTGAAGCAAAATCCAGAGGATTCAAAGGATTTTTCTATTGCAGACAGTGAGCAAAAGGCAACCTCCCTTCATTCTTCTGTTTTTAACTTGGATGGATGGAGTGAAACAAAACAAAATGAGCCTTCACTAAAGTCTAGTTTTTTGTAATAGCTGCTGCCCAGTAACTGGGCAGATGGTTCAGGCTGTGCCGGGTAACTTCTTAATGAGTCTTAAGGAAGCCAAGGGGATCACGGGAGATGGTGTGGGGAGGGAGGAGGACTTGGCATAAGCTGATGGTGATAGCTTTAAGTTCTGTTTGTTAGGACAGTGACTTATTTTGATAGCTTTTCTCCTTCAAATTTTATAAAATAAAATATAAAATTGATTTTTTGAACAAAACTGAGCTCTAATATTTGAGAAGTGGTTAACGCCAAAGGTTAAAAATATGACTACCTCAGAAGCAGTGCAGTGAAATTTGTCTGTTCATTCAACAAATATTTGTTGAGAATCTGTTATATTCTAGGAACAATTCTAGATCTAAAGGGAAAGTGGTAAATCAATAAAATAAACAAAACCCACTGCTTTTCAGGAATTTACATTCGAGCATAAGGAGGAGCACATCAATAAAATTGACATTTAGATGGTTTTATTTAGAAGGAACAAATGTTATGTAAACTGGATATATTTCTGCAACAACAAATCTATACTCACTTGAAAAGAATAAACTTGAAAGCTTTTAAAAATATTTTAATAGTGAGTAATAGTGTCATATGACCAGACAATGTGATTGAAAATAATTATAGAATTTGAGCAAATATGTTAGCTATCTGCTTGCAGGATACTACTTTTTTCTTTAACAAAAATAGTTTAAATTTTTTTTAAAAAAAATAGAAGCTTGTTTATCTGGAAATGTGCATTCTGTACTTAAAGAAATATTTATAGCATGTTTCCCATAATCTCACAACTGAGAATCATTGTGTGTTATTGGGTATTTTTTTCAGAGTGTGAAAACACAGTGTTGGTCAAAGAAATTACTGGCTTTGAGGGAAAAATTTCAAGCCCATATTACCCAAGCTACTACCCTCCAAAGTGCAAGTGTACCTGGAAATTTCAGGTAGCCTAATTTCACCATTATCTTAGAAAAATAGTGTTAAACAATTTTTTTAGTGGCAATTTATTTTTGAATTTTAATTCACTCTTTTTTAAGTTATAAAACATTATTTTTATGTAATATTTAAGCCTTATTGAAATATATTATCTGGAACATGAAAGTTCTCTGTAATCTCAACTGGTACTGCTTATTTGCAGATTGGGGCTTATTTTTCCAGTTTATTACTTTGTATTAAAAAAAGCAAAGGCATTCTTATGGGATCAGTCTATTTTATTATGCTAAAGCTTATTAATTTTTGATGACTATCAACATTATAATAGGAACAATAAACAATAATTGATTAGGAATATATATATATATATATATTTATATATTTCTTCTGTACAAGTAAACCCATAGTAAATTTATATTAAATATATACATCTCTCTCTAGTGCTAGACAGAAAATTTCTTCTTTTCTTCTTTTTAAAATCTTAGTCTGTTTAGTCCTAAACCTTGCTGTGATAAAATTTGGTCAGTGCATAAATGAGGTTAGTAGATCCCTTTCTCACTATACTAAGCATCAAGCCAAGGGAACGAGTTTTCAGTAAGGAAGTCTTCAAGAAAGCATGCTTCTGACTTATGTTTTCCAGACTCCCCTGTCAACTTTTGGTGTGGCACTAAAATTCCATAATTATTCAATAACCAAGAAGAGTGTGAAAGGCTGTGACCATGGATGGTGGGAAATTAATGAACACATGTAAGTGATTTTCATAGATGAGGAATCTGATGGATGGTCTTGAATTTGTTGTCCCCAAGGAGTTTGCATTTCACTATTTACAGATAGGGAAACTGAAGGACCCAGGAATTAAATAGCTCGCTCACGTTCACACAATTCACAGTGAGTAAGCCAGCACTCAATGCCTACCTGCTGGCACCAGCTCCTTGCCCACCACGGCTTATGCATTTGGGTTCTGGCCGTGCACACTATATTTTACAATAGACTGGCAAATAGTCTTTTAACTACAAAGCCATCAAGGAAAGTCATACTTAGGAGTTTGGTGGTACAAAGGTTAGAAAGATTAGCAGGTCTGTGCTGTAGGAGAGATCTGGCTGGCCTCACAGTATGCTGAAGCTGGATGTGAGTTGAGGTTGACCAGAGAGAGGCTGAGAGAAATCTAGATGCCTGGGCTTTTTCTGTCAACCTAGTAAGTCCTCATTTTTACCCCTAATTTATCCTTTACTTGCTGTTAATATTTATTTGTATCTAAAATTCTAATAGGTTTTACATTTCACATTGAAAATATAAAAGATGACCTGTTTTAGTATCTGACTAGCTTCTTAGTTTACCTGGAGATAAGAATTTTTGTAAAGTTAGCCTAAGGGAGTTACCTGCTGATTCTTTGCTCATTGTTAGTTCATCTTTCTAAAAGATTTTCCTGAACAATCTTTCATCTCTGTGGGACTCATATTACATGCCAAACAGTGTTTGGTTCTGTCTTCCTCAGAATAGGACCTATCCGATTTAAAGGCACTTTTGGCTCTGTTATTAGTATGTGACTTATACTCCTTTTGGGAGTATTTTTGAACCAAGAATCTGTTATTCAGGAAGCAAAAGAGTTGGGTTCAAATTGCAGCCTTATTACTTAGTGACTACATTTTACTAAGACAACTTATTTAACCTTGTTGATTTTTAGTCTGTGAAATGAAGTATTCCTACTTACTATGGAGGGTTTGGGGTACGCATCCAATGAAGTAATGCATACCACACACCAAAAATAGTAGCTCTTATGTGATTAATAAGATTGCTTTGGAAATGAAATCAGGTAAATAAATGTTACTGAATATGTCCCAAGGCTTTAGGAATGCTGAGTTTTGGTATTTAATTAAAGGCCTAGAAAGCAAATCTTTACAATTGTTTTTAAAAGATCAGACAGCTGTGCTTTCAAAATGGAATACTACTTCTTCCTTAAGTAACAACCCTCACCCCTCACCATGTAGTGCTGCCAAAGTAAGCCAGGGCCTCCTCTGCCCTAAATACTTTCCCTGAAGGACCAGTCCTTTACTTTTCCTTGTGGACTGACTGAAATCCTATAAGATTCTGTTGATGCTTCTTGTTCCCTGGGGAGTTACAATGCCAGCCTTTCCCATATCAATCTTTTTCATTTAAAATAGAAAATCTTAAATTAAATTAAATTAACTTCTCAACTTGCTGAGAAGTTAGCCTGAAGGTCTATGGAGAAAAAGTAAATCTGACACTGGGAAGCCTGTGACCTTGAGTTCAGAGAGCATGGTGGTGGCTATATAGGCCCGGCACAACCAGGCTAGTGCAGTATGTGAACCCTAAGGAACAAATAGCCTCCCACAAAGCTGTAGCAGAGCACAGATTGCACTAGAAAGTGCAGACATATAGTCTCAGGCAGACTATGTCCAGAGCCTGCTTGTACTTACTGGCTACTTGAACTTTAAAAACTTGCTCCACAAATTCCATCTGTTTCCTTAATTGTCAGGTGTCTGCCCCCATAAACATCTGCTGGATTTCTCCAATGTATTTTTTTTTTTTAATTTTTGCTCCATAAACAACCATCATACCCCATTGCCTACTGTTCCCCTCTAAATTCCAATCCCAGTGTGGATCACTTCCCCGTGGATTCTGCTCAATGTCTGGGGGAGACTTATCTTCACAGGAAATCTGGTTGATGTGAATGGAAAGCATGAATAAGGTCATTCTGAGGCCAGATAGCAATAGTTGTGTCTTTAAAACCCAGCATTCTCTGGCCGCAGAAGTTCCACTCACAAGCTTCTCTTTTCAGGTGCCTCTCTGATCCTGGCTCCCTCTTCTCAGGTGGCTATAAGCAACTATGTTCTCTTCCTTGTATCCCAGGAGTTAGCTCACAGGTCCTGAACTTCAGACAGTTACCAAGATTCTTCCAGAATGTATATGAATGCTTTGTTTCTTTGAACTTTAAAATCACGGGTTACATCTGAGCTCCTCTCATAGGATATTGGTGTCTGATGCATTGAAGTTTCATGGTCCCCAAGAGTTTTGGGGTCCTGGAGTGACTGACATTCACAGATTCCAGTGAGCCCTCCCCCCTCAAGACTTATTTTTGCTGTTCCCTTGAAAATTTGCAGGCTTCACTCTCGGAGAGTCTTGCCCACACAGGATAGAGACCTCTTACCAGGGACCCCATGTAATAATATCTCATGTTTCACTAACCACAGTGCTCATATAAGAACTATTGACAGGAGAGACATTTTGTCTAAGTTATGAAAAATTGAAGAGGTGAATATTGCAGGTAGAAAGCATTACTTTTTGCTAAAGACAAGCTCAATAGTATGCATCAGATTTCAATTTAGAATGAAATGATTGTGTTGTCTTTAGCGTGAAGTGTGCTAGGAATTTTTGCATGCATAATTACAACATGAGCTTGTGGATTCTACTCTTCTCTATGAGAGACATGTGGACAAAAGCAGGCAGTTGTTACCTAGTTATCTACACTGAAAAAAAGAGAAAGGACTAGGAGAATTAAACACTGTCTCTTCTGGTTAGAAATGTTCCTGAGGAAAGCAAGGAATAGCAGAGAGCATAGTACTGCTGTTGTTAGGAGAGGAGAAAATCAATCAAGTGTGTAGAAATTATTCATAGTCACTTAGCACAGAATGCATGAAAGGGACAACCACTGTTAGTGCCATCACAAGCATCTGTGCTTTTGAAACCCAAAGACCAAAGTATTAGTGACGTTCCCATCGGCAGGAATGACCTTGATAGACCTGCAAAGCCATGTGTCCCTACTCTGTCCCCAGGTACTGCGGCTCCTACATGGATCACCAGACGATTTTCCGAGTGCCCAGCCCTGTGGTCCACATTCAGTTTCAGTGCAGCTCAAAGCTTTCAGACAAACCACTTCTGGTGGAATACGGCAGTTACAACATCAGCCAACGTAAGCGGAGCCAGTGCCTTAGAAAAACTGAGGATAATCCTTTGTAACTCTAAACTTTATGACTTAAAAGGAAGAAAAAATGTTTTATTTCTATTACTTTCTATTTTTATAACAAGAGTATAAATGTGTAATATAAGCAATATATAATGATACAAATGGTAGGAGGTGGGGCTTTGGTGACATGTTACTGCTATATTTCAACATTACAGTAAATAGTGTATATTATTTCTTCTGCAATTTAAATATAGCAGAATATTTTTAAAGATACTTATATTAAAGTATATAGTATACATACTGTAATATATACTATATCTATATACTATATACTACTTATATATTATAGTATATAGTATAATATAGTATATACTATACTATTATAGTGTATAGCATACACTGTAATATATACTATATACTATATTATTATATTATAATATATTAAATATATATTATAATACTAGATTATGGTATATAGTATATATACAGTATATAGTATATATGTATACTATATTAAAGTATTATATTATTTGTACTGTATAGACTATATACTATACTATAGTATTATAATATATAGTATATATTGTAATATAAATGTATTAAAATATTCTGCTATATTTAAATTGCAGAAAAAATAATAGAGCTGTTTGTTAGCATCAATTTATATTGAAGAATTCTTTTACACATTATTGTTTAATTATGAGACAATTTTTTTGATTTGTTCTTAGTGGATCAGACACCAACAACTGTGAATCCCTTTGACCTGTGATGTATAAAAAGAGCCAGTTGATTAAGTTAGGGGCTGATAAGTTGATTAGAGTAAGTTATAGGGAGAATTTCCTGCTGAGAACTGCTGACCTGTGGCTAGGAAGTGGTCAGTAGAAAAGGCTGTGTATAGGGAATTCATGAGCTCTGGAGAGAGTAGATACTGAGCTGGTCAGGAAACTCTCAGCCATTTTTGGAGGAAGAGTCCATAAAGATAAGACTTAGGAGTCCATAAAGATAAGACTTGAGAGAATACCCCTTTTGAGCATGTTCTTCTCCCCTGCTGCAGAATAGCTGCTGCTGGGCTCAGAACAGTGTACTTTTGAACATCAAAATATTATAATTTCCAGCAAGGACACTGGTAAATAGTAAGCAATCTCATTTTATTTTTCAGACATTTATTTATTTATGCATATAGAAATGGGGTACAAACCAGAGGTGCAGTGCAGTGAGAGGATTCACCAGAGACAGAGCAGGGAGCAGAACAGACAGATCGACGAAATACACTGCTGAGGGGAGCAGCAGGCAGCTCAGGAGAGGTCTGCCTCACCATGTGGGTCACCTCTGCGGCCAGGGATCCAACTCTCACTGAAACAACTGTGGCCAGCTTGCAGTGCTGCGGCCTTACCCGTTGTGCCACCAGGGAGGGCCTACGATCTTATTTTTAATTGCTTTTTCCAGCTATGAAGATGTTCTAGGAACTCACTCTCTATGTTATGTTCTGCTAATACAGTGTTGACCTGACCACCCAGCCTTCTCTATCCCATTGTTCAAGGGAGTGACAGTTTATTAGGATTGCTAGAACAAAATATCACAAAAAATAAAATGAGATTGCTTACTATTTACCAGTGTCCTTGCTGGAAATTATAATATTTTGATATTCAAAAGTACACTGTTCTGAGCCCAGCAGCAGCTATTCTGCAGCAGTGGAGAAGAAGGACATGCTAAAAAGGGGTATTCTGGCTTATAAAAACCAGAAATTTTGCACAGTTTTGGAGTCTGGAAATTTTAGATCAGGGTGCCAACATGTTTGAGTGGGGGTTCTCTTTGGATCATGGGCTTATAGTCTCACAAGGTAGAGAGAGAGGGGGGAACTCCCTATGGTTTCTTGCAGGCATTCATCTTATCCAAGTGGATGTCACCCTTGTGACTTTACCTCTTCAAAGCTCCACCTCATAATACCATTGCAGTGAACATTACAATTCCAATATATGGATTTGGGGGGACACAAACATTAAGCTACAACAGGAGCAAAGATATGTTATTTTTATATAGCTACAAACCTGGACTTATTTAGCTACAAGGCCAGGATTACTGGGGCCAGGGTAGGCAAGGGAATGGGTCTTTGATGAGGACTCTGGTTGAAGTGGATTGAAAGAATTCTGAGTTTCGAGGTCAGTCTGGAATTTAAAAAAAGTGTATTTTTATTTCCTTGGGGAGGAACACTAAGGGTGCTGCATGCTCTAAAGTAATTTCCAGCCTTCCCTTCCCCCTAGTTTCTGATAAACTCAAAGAGCTGAGTCAAAAATGTATAGTAGAAGTTTGACTGTTCAGAGGCAATGGTGACTTCTAGCTTCTGGTAAATGAGTTTGCTTTCTTTGTTCTCCTTAGTCCAATAATGTTGTCCTTCAGCTGCCATCTAATCCTACTACTGTTCAACTGCCGACTCCTAAACAGCTTAACACTCCACATTTCTTTGATGGTGTGGGCTGCTAACCTTTCGGAACCCACCCACAGCTCTGCTTTTATTGTCTTTAGCCTGTCCCGTCGGAACCTTCAGATGCAACTCTGGCTTGTGCGTCCCTCAAGCCCAACGGTGTGATGGAGCAAATGACTGTTTTGATGAAAGTGATGAACTTTTCTGTGGTGGGTATTCAAGCTTTTACTATGACTTACTTCTGAATAAGTAACTGATCAGAACCTTTGCTGCTGCTGGGTCATATCCTGGGTCTCTATGACTATTATCTAGTGCTGTATATCTAACTGCTTCTGAACTGAGGTTTACAACAGTCATTTATTTTCTATTGCGCATTCGCAGGTCGCCTGGGTTATGTCTGATCTAGTTTGGGCTTGGTGGGTGGCTCTGCTTCAAGCAGTGTGTTCTTCTGAACTTGGTTCTTCCCAGGATGGTTTCAGGTGTACTCCTGTGGCTCTTCTGTTCATTGAGCTAGTGTTGAGCCATAGCAGTGGCAGATACAAAGGCTAGAGGAGCAAAGACACTTGATTTCTCTTAAACCATGAACTTGCAACTGGCACACCATCAGTCAAAGCCAGCAATGTGATCGATTGAGGTCATGGTCAAGGGGCAGGAAGCTTACTTTGCACACTTGGGGACCATGGAAAGATTGGGGATACAAATACTGCCACAGCCTCATTGGGACTGAGGCTCTCCAGCCAATAACTTCATCAACCCCAGCAGTTCTATTTAAAGCACAGATCCTCCATCTAGAGAGGAGCTCAGAAGTTGCAAAGAAGTACTCAGAATCTCATTTATGGAGCACAGCTATTGTGAATAAAAGTTATTTTTTAAAAGAGTATTTATCTATGCATACAGAATTAGGGTACAGGCCAGAGGTACAGGGGCCATGAGAGATTTCACCAGAGACAGAGTGGGGAGCAGAGCAGGCTGACTGATGAAGTACACCGCTGAGGGGAGCAGTGGGCGGGTCAGGAGAGGTCTGCCACGCTATGTGGGTCACCTCTGGGGCAGGGATCGAACTCGCACTGAAGTGGACCATGGCCAGTTTCACTCCAACCTGCTGTACCACTAGGAGGGCCAAAAAGTTATTTTTTCTTAACCTATATAGTTTGCATTGACAGCATATTAATAATGACTATGGGCTGGGGTGTTGGATGTTCCTATTCTGGGTGGAGAATCTTTGTCTTGGTTTTTATTGCTTTCTGTACCTCATTCCTAAATTTATCTCCAGTTTCAAGGAATGAGATGGAGAGAAAAGGTCACTGGACAATGTGGCCCCATTGGACACATTTTCTTTGAAAGATCGAGTGTTCAATTCAAATGTAATTGTGTTGGTGAGGCTATTTAATATCTTTCATATTCTTGGAGAAATATTGTAATCTATATAAGTAGATGTGAAAACAAACTATGAAAAGTAACCTATGACAACATCTTTTTTTAAATCAACACAACGAGGCAAAAGAAAACACTTAACTTATGGTTTATTGATTTAAGACCTTTTATTTCTTAAGATAATACTGATCACTGTATAGTGATTGAGGTTGCTTGTTAATAAAATTATTACTCCCTGTTATAGTGCTCCAAAATAGAAGGAGTAGTTGTTACTTTATAATAAGGATTACTTTTGGCAATTATTATTTTATTGTGCATTTTGGGTGCTTTTCTCTAGGAGTCAGAAACTTGATGAAGTATTTCAGGGTAGCAATATCTTACTTGTCACTCATAAGATATACCTCTGAAAAAATAGGATTAGATAACAAAAAATGATAACTTTCCCCCAAATCAGAAATGTCTGAAGAGCCAAGCCTTCTGAGTGCTTGCCAATCCTCTGTACTTACCGCTGATCTAAAGGCATTTCATGAAAATTGTCCAAAAAAGAAAAATATCCAAAAAATTGTGGTAGGTTTATACTGATATTTCCTAGTCCAGGGAACAGGTGACTCAGGATGCAGTCATTTTAAAGGGAATTTTCCTTACATATAGACTACAAGTCTGTTGTACGTTAAGATCCCATACTAATTAGCTCATTCAATTAACCTTTAGTGAACACCTGCTGATTGGTCAGTAAATAAGGAAGGAGATAAAATCCCAACCTCCAGACTTTGTTTAGGCAGGTAGACAAGTTCAATTTAGATTACAACTTGTGAGTTTTAGTTTCTTTCAACAATCTTATGATAATATTTAATTGTAATTAAATAAACAAATCTCCAGAGTTTAACACATTTCCAAGAAAACAAAAATCAGGTTTAACAAACTCAGGGTGTTAGGAATTGCACCAAAGCTTAAACATCTGCTTTGCCTCATGTAGATGCCAGTTTTGAAGAAAACACACCTTCTATTTTATTTAAATTATCTTAAATACTTGCACCATGGGAGCACTTCTGGTCATCAGAGAGTCCCGCTAACGTCAAGCTCCTAAGTTCCTGTCTCTTCTCATTCTAGTGACCCATAAACCTGCCTGCAATGCCAGCAACTTCAGACAGCATAGCCCTCTGGTCTGTGACGGCTTCCGGGATTGTGAGGATGGCAGGGATGAGCAGAACTGCACCGAGAGTGAGGAGGGAGCCCCTGTAACTTGTTGCCTTTCACATGAAACCATCCTAAATCAATTGAAACTCCCTTTCTGGGTTAGAACAATCACTTGACTGACTTTTTCCAGGTTTTATCCAGTTTTAGTTTTGAAAACCCCATGCATGTCTTGGAATTAGTCTCAGGCAGAACAGGACAGCCGGCCTGTCTAACTTGAGTGGAGTTGTGTGTGTGTGTGTGTGTGCGTGTGAGTACTGGAAGATTTTCATGGCTCACTTATTTTTTTTTAAATATTTATTTATTTATGCTTACAGAACTGGGGTACAGGACAGAGGTGCAGGGGTGGTGAGAGGATTCACCAGAGATAAGAGTGGGGAGCAGAGCAGGCAGATTGACTGAAATACACTGCTGCGGGGAGCAGCGGGCGCGTCAGGAGAGGTCTGCTACGCCATGTGGGTCACTCTCTGGCTGGGGATCGAACTTGTGCTGCAGTGGCTTCAGAAAGCTTCATAATGCAGTGCTTTAACCCATTCTACCGCCAGGGAGAGCCTTCGCTTACCTTTTTTTTTTTTTTTTTTTAAAGATTTATTTATTTATGCATACAGAACTGGGGTATAGGCCAGAGGTGAGGGGTGGTGAGAGGCTTCACCAGAGACAGAGCGGGGAGCAGAACAGGCAGATGACAAAGTACACTGCTGAGGGAAGCAGTGGATGGGTAAGGAGAGGTCTGCACGCCATGTGGTCACCTCCAGGGCCGGGGGTGGCTTTAGCTGAAGTGGCTTTAGCTTCTTAGTGCTGCATTTACCCGCTGTACCACCAGGGAGGGCCCTCACTTACTTTTAATGCTGCTTAAGACTGGGGTAGTAAGGACTGGATAACAAAGGACATGGCCAGATTCTGACTGGGGTGGGATATATGAACTGTAGCCACTGCGGAAACATACACCACCGGGCATGTGGACAAGGGCCCATAATCCACAACTCATCTTGGTTGTTCTAAATATGTAAGAAGACTGGGTGTAATGGTCTTTGTTTAAGAAATTCCTTTGAGAATAAGTCAATGAAATAGTGAAGAAGCTGTGGTCTACAGCCCCCCATGTGGCTTTGCAGCTCATCCCCAGTGGGAGGAAGGAGAGGCTTTGGGTTGATGCTCAGCGGGTGTGGCTGCCTGCCTGCCTCAGTGGCTCTGGGAGGTGAAGGATGGGCGGTGAGGGCTGGCTTCATTTCCCTCATCCATGCCTAAGCCATCCTTTGCAGAGTTTATTGTCACTCATTCGGCTGGGCTAGGAAAAGCCTCTTCTTTGTGGATTTGTAGGCATTCCCTGCAACAACAGAACTTTTAAGTGTGGCAATGAGATTTGCTTCAGGAAGCAAAATGCACAGTGTGACGGGATTGTGGACTGTTCAGATGGAAGTGATGAAGAAGACTGCAGTGAGTAGAAATGGGTTCCTTCTGACGCCTCAGTTCCCTCGGTTCATTCTCTTTTTGCTGTAACCCCCATGCCCCCACACACAGAGGTTGCCACAGATCCAGTGAGGAATGACAAGTATCATGAACCAAGTCTGAAATCATTTTTTTTAGATTAAAATCTCCAGAGCATATTTTGTCTTCTTTCTTGATTACAAACATGAACAGAAGCATTTATAGTGAAAACTTTCACTTTCTAATAACTCTAATCAAGGAAGAAGTTCTGTAATAAAAAACCCAAAAGGTCCTGAGTGCAGAGAATGTCTTTGTATGCTATGAGCACTATCAAGTGCTGTTTCTCTCTTAGTGATGACCTGAGAACTGTAATCTGCCGCATGGTCTTTTGTTTAAGAATTTACTTTGAGAATATGACAGTGAAATAGTGAAGAGGCTGTGGTCTACAGCCCCTCGTGTGCTTTGCAGCTCACTTCCAATGGGAGGAAGGAGAGGCTTTGGGTTGCTACTCAGCAGGTGTTACTGCCTGCCTTCCTCAGTGGCTCTATTAGCTATGTGATCTGTAATCGACCATGTGACAATATGTTAATCATGTATCCTTATCAATACTACTTACTTTGGAAAATAATTGCTCTGATAACTAGTTTTTTCAACAGATTTTCATTTGACTTGGACTTACAAATTCTCTCTTAAATGCTTCCTTTAAAATCAGCGCAACTTCAAAAACTCTCAATTCTGTTGTATTTGGAATTTATCTTTCCCTCTCTCTGCAATAACCCGAAGCCCACGGGCTGACCGTCTCTGGTGTCCCCCGCCCCTCATGCCATTACTGTGACCAGACTGTGGGTCAGCACCTCTTCAGGAAGTGCTTTCAGAAAGACCCAGGTATTCTCTCCTCCTTAGGTAAGCAGCAAATTCCAACTATTTATCTAGTGAGCCACTTCTCAGTTGAGCTCTAAACACTATCTGATTTTCCAGTTTTCTTCCAAATATCTTTTTATTTTTAAATTTGTTTATTTTTATTGACATGGCAGTTGTCTATATACCTCCGTAGCTTTGGGCTTACATTTTTCTCCCTCCACTTGTAGACATGTTTCACTCCCCTCCACCAGCTGCCCTGTGCCCTTCCCCTATCTCCTCCTCCCCACCCGGTTCCCTTAGGTCAGCAGTATGTTTGTCACTAGGTCTATGACTTGTTTTTGCTATGCTTAGCAAAGTCCATCTTTAAGTCATGTGACCTTCTCCTCAAGGCTGCAGCGGGAGTTCCTCCACCCTCCACCGCATTGTTGGGGGCACAGACACCCAGGAGGGGGGGTGGCCATGGCAAGCCAGCCTCCACTTTGTGGGATCTGCCTACTGTGGAGCTTCGGTCATCTCCAGGGAGTGGCTTCTCTCCGCAGCCCACTGTTTCCATGGAAACAGGTAAGGCATGCCAGTCCTTACCCTGAAGTAGTGCACACTGACCTTAGACCTCAAGTTGCAGGAAGAAGCTCCCTGTGGCTGACATTCAATCAATCCAACTGATGCCTTTCCTTTTTCCTTTTGTAAACATTGTGCTCAATATTTATCCATATCGGAAAAAACACACAATGAAAAGACCAAAGGTGAAGGGCTTTCTTGGGTTGACAAAATTGGGTAAGGCTTTCAAGTCAGAGGAAATACATCTATGATATGTTTGGATAGTATGGAGAAGAGTGGGCACTGGAGCATTACTGGGGTGTGGGGATCCCTGTTTGGAGTTCGAGTATAATCCCAGAATAGCCCATTAGGTTTGGCCCTAGAAGGGCTCTGGCTGCCATTACCAATGGGGAGAACAGATGTTCTGCCAGCTGACATCTACTTTGTGTTAGGTACAAAAAAGAAGTATTTTTTATTCTTAATATTTTAAAGTACAGGCCTTCAAATAATTTATAAACTTAAGAGTATTGCTTCTCCTGGAAGTTACAGGATTTATGTAAATGATTAAAGTAGAAATGCTTCCATTTGATCATTAGTCTTTATAGTCTATGAAACTGTCCCAAATAACATGTTAAAATTAACACTTCCTGGCTCCCCAGGGTCACTCATGAGGTATCAGCTCAGCAGGTTGGTAGCAACACTTTGCAGCCTTTGTCTTTATTTTTCTTCCAAAGTTTCCACATTCTCTTCACCTCATGAGAAAAAGGCTGCAGGGTGGAAATGGAAACTTCATGTGGAGACTGCAGGACCCTTGGACTTAGTGCAAGGGCAGGAGTCACATGGAGAATTCTGGAAGGAATAACGGAGTGGGGCCTGTGAATGTCATGCTTGAGCTGTTAGAGCTGTGATCTTAAGGCTCTGTTAGTTTGCAAGAAAAAATTTCACGACATTCTGGCTGACAAATAACGTTTTAATTTGACTCTATCTTGGTATTCATATCATTTGAATTTGTCAAAAGGATTCCAGACCACAGTCTTCTGGCCCTATCAGTCTCCATCAAATAATGGATCAGTGTAACTAGGAAGAATCAAACAAATGTATTCCAGTTACCGGCATCCTTGACCTGTGCGGTTCATGAAAACCAGTGGCCAGAATATTTCCAGCATTATTTTTATAAGTTATTGAGGGAATGTTCTGGAACATATCATTTGCCATCCTACTTTGCATTATTTCATTCTCGTTTTACTGAGGACAAAAGGAGGGCTCAGAGAAGTTGTGGACAGAATCAGCAAAGACGATGGGGATGGAAAAGTCAGGCCTGCCTCTCCTTAGCCTCATCTCTGTAGAGTGATTTCTAGGCTTTTTCACATCACTGACTCTGCTCATTCCACTTTCACCAGGCTGTCAGACCCCACTCCGTGGACTGCTCACCTTGGGATGTATGTGCAGGGCTATTCCAAGTTCGTCTCCCCATTGAGAAGGATTGTTGTCCATGAGTACTATAACAGCCAGACCTTTGACTATGACATTGCCTTGCTACAGCTCAGTGTCGCCTGGCCTGAGACTCTGAAACAGCTCATTCGGCCAATATGCATTCCTCCTGCTGGCCAGAAAGTGCACAGTGGGGAGAAGTGCTGGGTGACCGGCTGGGGGCGAAGGCACGAAGCAGGTATGTGCAAGAACAACAGCCGTGGCCTGCCATTTAGTGAATGTTGTACTTTGGGGTTCTTGGAGAGGGACGTGCACATGGTTTCACTGAGCCTCCTGCAGTGTTGAGAAGTAGAATGGAGGAGGGTATTACTGTTCTGTTTTAGGGTGTTGTTCCCCCAAGAGGGTCCTTCTCTTGAAGGTGTCTATGTGCAAAGCAGGACTGGAGAGATAGTATGGGGCCTTTTCAGAATTAGACATCCCCTCTGGGTGGACTAGAACTAGGCTTTTTTTATTTTGCATATATACATAGACATGTGCAATAGATGCATGTATAGTATGTGTGTGTGCATATATATCATATATGTGTATGCATGTGTAATTTTTTCCACAGAATAACATTTCACCCCTCAGGCGTGGTCACTAAAGTTCTTCCACCATGAAAGCACACATAATCCTCCAGCACAGTTATTTGTACTCTCTTCCCTGACTCTTCCTCACCCACACTTGGCTGTTTTCTCCCTTCTCTCTTCCTAGGAGTAAGGGGTTTTTTTTAGGCTTTCTGCTATGGAGAGCAATTCCTCCTTGTTTTTAGGTTCCTTTCATTCAAAGAAGCGATTTATTTTTATAAAGGGCACACCACACGGGCCCTCCCTAGGGCCCAGGGGTTAAGTCTCAGCACTATGAAATTATCTAACATGAATTCGATCCTTAGCCAAAGAGGTGACCCATATGGCACAGCAGACCTCTCCTGTCTCCTCTGCCTCTTCCCTCAGCAATGTTTTTCAGTAGATCTGACTGTTTTTGCTCCCTGCTCTGTTTCTGATGAATCCTCTCACTGTCTTGCACCTCTGGCCAAATATCAGGCTGAACTCCCATGCATGAATGGAGACATGGATCTTAAGAAAAAGGGCACACCACGCAAACACACACACTCACTTGCCTGCACAGGCACACATACACACACAGACACACACACGTGCTTGTGTGGGCACTTCTACCCTATCCTGCCAGCTCACAGATTATTATCTAGAGGACTGTGGAAGGCTGTCCCGCCAGGGCAGTGACTGAGGTTGACAGTGAGAGCCGAGAGGCAGCCTGTCCTTAGCTCCTGGACTGCAGACACAGGCCTGGGAGTCCACCAGAGGATGCCTTTTATTGGTCTTCCACCCAAAGGGGGCACCTTTGTCAATAGGTACCAATTCCAGATTGTGTCATAGAAAAGGTGCTACATTTGCTCTGACAAGATTTCCCATGATCTGGGATTTGTGGGTGATTTTAAGCATATAGTGAGGGGAGAACCCAAATCACCTCACTCCTTTGTAGTCATCTCCAGGGATTTAGGAAAGAACCCTATAATCTTGACCTTACTCTCCTCTCACTTGGGCACTAAAAATTCACAGTGGCGCTTTCTCCAAAGCTTTCTGGCTTCATCTAGTGACTGACATTACAATATATACTAGCAGCTTGAGTCTGCTGAGATCTCAGGGTTCTAACAAGGAAAAGCAACTACCCGCTTGAACATCTGACTATACCCGAATATTACAGAATAGAATGCTCTAAATGTATTCTTCTAGCCACTGCATTAAAAACAATCATACTCTAGTGCATTAATACCACCAATGGAAAAAAACTTTAATACATTTAGTGTGTGATAATTACTGTACAATAGAGAGAAAAGAAAGAAGGAACATAATTTTCAAATCAGTTACCCATCCCCTCTTGGGTAAATATCAAGCCAAAGAGTGTTGGCTCAAATCGGGGTCACTGAGGCCCAAAAGCTTGCCACAAGTCTGGGCATCTTCTGGTGGGGACCTTAGCAAAAGGGCAGAAGAGGCCAAGCAAAGGCTGTGCTTGTCAGCCTCCCTGCCGGTCTCTTACCCACATCTCTATCTTTTTTCAGGTGTCTCCTTCCATGTCACCCAAGTCCCTAACACAAGTCCAAGGACAAGAAACAAGCACAGATTTTTCACATTCCTCTCTGTTGCTTGTGACTCCTCCAGGCTTCCTTTCTCTTCCAGTCCCTTGTAGCTTCTCCTCCCTGCCATCTCCACCCTCCCTTTGGGTTGGGCAAGGAACCTGGGACCTTCCCTTTCTCTAAGGGTTTCCCTGTTACGAGAGTTTTGATGACTTCATCTTATATCACAAAAGAAAGGTACTACTCAACTGTCTTATCGTGAGGCATTGTCTTAATAAACGAGTATGCGTGTTTGAGTGTGCATGTTATTTTTCTGAGTCATCTTAGAGAGATTGAAAAGGTTATATTCACGTGATTATGTTTTTATGATTCCAAGACATGCCATATATTAGTTGTGCTGCTCCACCTGGGAGTTCCCTGGACTAGTGAATATTGTAGTAATTTCCTGCCTCACATTCCTTCATGGTCAAACATCTGGTGCGGTGTTCAGGTGATGAGATCAGGCCTTAAGTATGAGTCCTTCTCTGTTAATTCTAGCTGTGTGCCACGAGAGAGTCCTTTACTTTTAAAACTCCATTTCACCGGTAAAATAGGGACCTTAATAGAGTTAACCTCAACAAAATGCTACAAGGATAAAAGAAGATAACGTGATTAAATTGTTCGATGGGATCCTGAGTAAGTGTAGTCACTGCTGTGATTTCCACCTCCAATGTGTTTTCCAGATAACAAAGGCTCTCCTGTTCTGCAGCAGGCAGAGGTGGAGCTCATGGACCAAACACTGTGTGTGTCCACCTATGGCATCATCACTTCGAGGATGCTCTGTGCAGGGGTCATGTCAGGCCAGAGGGACGCGTGCAGAGTAAGTCATCCTGCCTTTCCTCCCTCTGACTTGCTCTGTTCCCCACAAAAGCAGTCACATTTCATCTACACAGCACCGGGAAATAACTAGGCCTGGGGGTTCCCTGGACTTAGAGTTGTGCAGGGATTTAATTTAATTTTAGAATTAAAATTGAAACCAATTTTTTAAATCTATAGAATCTGCTTTCTAGTTCCTGTGTATTTTTCTCTAACATTTAGAGACTGAGGTCAGCATTTATCATTCCCCATGGTTTTATTATAACCTCAATCAACACACACACATTGTTACAGGAATATTGCTTTTTTGTTTTAGCAGCAGCCATTTATCTTCTGAAATAACAAAGGTTTTATTCACTTTCTTTCTCCTTGACTTGTAGTCTGGGGGGTAGGGGAGGGGTGAGCGTCTACTCATGTATATGCCCTGGGCCTTCTGATAATAGTACATTTGGAGGGTACCTTCAGATTTTAGTTTATACAGTGATCATAGGATCAGCATAAAAGGAACAGGTGACTTAGCGGATGGGGAACATGGTGAGAGCTGTTCCCACGTCTTACTTCTCCCTTAGTTGTCTTACCACAAAACTCACATAATGAATTTTCTGTATTCTGAACTCCTATTTTGTAATAAGCCCTGTGCTCAATTCCTCATGTAAATTCTTCAAATTCTTTACTTATTTGCATTTTATAGAAGAGGAAATTGGGGCACAGAGAGAGTAAGCCTTTATCCAAGTTCACATAGTAAGTAGCTGGGATTTGAAACATATCTCTAATACTAGCACATCACTAAGTGTTGGGTGCTTTCTCAATATATCATTCACATAGTCTTGTTCCACACTCAACAGTGTTAACACATTAAATTAGACTTGGCTGAATTGATGTGGCAACAATTAAAATAAAAAGAGCTCATTTTTTCTACTTGCTGGAATTTACCTAATCCAGGTCAGAAATGTGGGACACAATTTGGAAGGTTTTTAAATCTTTGCCTTTGAAAACATACAGCGTACTTATCCTCCCAAATAGGAAACAAAACCCAGACATAACAATGTAAAGAAGAAATATGGTAGGAGTTATGCATAAACTTTGTGATTGGTGATTTAGCTTGGTGGAATTGAAGTATCAGAAAGAACTCTCATTTTCAGCAGATTTGCCTCTGACAGTTGCTGGTTAGTAATCCTTTGGGCTACTTCATGGAACTTGGCTAATTAGAAGTCCCTCTTTATCTCCCTCCCTCAGCACCATGAACACAATGCTGAAGTTGCACAGCCCAGGTGGGGATGACCTTCCAAGATGGCCCTGCCTTATGTGGTTGTGTGAAGGCTAAGGACCCCCAAACTGTGCTTAGCACAAAGCCTGCACTAACTAAATGCTAATACTTATGCTTATTACTATTGAGATCTGTTATTTGGGTGTGTGTGTGAGAGTCGGTTCTCCTCCAAGAATAGTCTAATGTTATTCTTTATCTGTGAATCAAGTTTCTTTTTCTAAATGCAGTCTTCTGATTTTAGGAAGAATGATTTTACAGTTATGATATTAGAAGTGTCACATTGTTTCTTGAGATTTCCCAGAACTGCATAGCAACTAGCCAAACAAAATTCATCAGAAATGGAGTTCTCAAGGCAATCCATTAGATACATTAATGACAAAGTAACTGCACTTCATACTGACATTGTCTTCTTATATAGGGAGATTCTGGTGGACCTTTATCTTGTCGAAGAAAAAGTGATGGAAGATGGATTTTGACTGGTATTGTTAGCTGGGGACATGGATGTGGAAGACCACACTTTCCTGGTGTTTACACAAGGGTGTCAAACTTTGTTCCCTGGATCCATAAATACGTCCCTTCTCTCTTGTGATCATGCAAGTTGGACTTTTGATTATATTTTATCTGTTAGAGACTTTTTAAAAGAAGTAATTATAAATAAAATAAGACTTTTTATTTCTTCTGGAAATTTTAAATTACATACGTAGGGTTTTTACTGAAATACAGAAAAATTAATGTCTATTTAATTCTTCAATATGTGGCTAGACTCATTCTTAAATGGTGTTAAATTGATTTTTATTAGGCCCTCCCTGGTGGCGCAGCGGGTTAAAAGCACAGCACTGAGAAGCTAAAGCCGCTTCCGCATGAGTTCAATTCCCGCCTGCCCCGGAGGTGACCACATGGCGTGGCAGACCTCCCCTGACCCGCCCGCTGCTCCCCTCAGCAGTGTACTTCGTCGATCTGCCTTTTCTGCTCCCCACTCTGTCTCTGGTGAAGCCTCTCGCTGCCCCTGAGCCTCTGGCCTGTGCCCCAGTTCTGTATGAACAAATAAATAAGTCTTTAAAAACAAAATTGATTTTTAATAAATGGTCATTGTTTTAGGAGTGAAAGGAACCTAAACTAATATCATGAACCATGTCTCTAAAGTAAGATGAGATACTCAGATATACATACATCATATTCTTATACAAGGTACATATATTTCTGAGACTTTAGGAAAGTGTGATTTATTGAATTAAGAAATTACCTTAAAAATCGTGCCTGTTTCTCAGTTCTCATGAAATGAAATGCACAAAAACATTTCCACAAATGTAAATAAGATAAATTGCAAGAACTGTTACTGCTTTCCAGTCCAGTTTTGTCTGACCACACCACAGTGGATGTCCTCAGACCAAACACCTGGCAATATTGTGGGTACATAAAGCTATCAACCAACAAAAAACTGACTCATTGCCACTAAAATGATAGAATGGAATGTCCCAGTAGTTGGGGATTTTAGAGACTTGTAATGCTGTTCTGCAGTTGAAAGGCAAAGAAATATTTTGTTTTCAAAGTAAAATCTTTTTGGATTCTGGGTTTGTTTGTTTTTTATATAATAAAATCCCAATAGCCAAGAAGACTTTCTTTTATTTTCAGGGCCTAGTTATTTCTGAATTGTACATACTTAGTTCATTGCTATGCATTTATTTTGTCTTGATTGAGACAGTTTGACAATTGAACTCAGAGTAATCCTTTCATTAACAGACTGGACTTGATACAACCAAATAGGTTAAAAGAGCAGAGAGAGGATGATATAATTTGTTTTCCCTGTGACAAAATCAAAGGAGTAATATACTACCTTTTAAACAATACTGTGTTAAAGTAGGGCCCAGAACAATGAAAATAGTTTTTGTCGGCCTTGGAAATTTTAATGCAACAAAAGAAGAGAGCAAGTGGTGTCAAACTCCAGAACAGATAGAAAGACTAAAGTCTTGAATATGATTTTCCTAAGGTAATGAATATTTCCTATTTTACAGAACATATTTTAATTGCCAAGAGATTGATTGCCCTATAAAAAGGATTGAATATTTTATTAATACCTTTCTGAATAGGTCATTCAAGAATTAATAAATAAGCTATTTGCAATTTGGAGGGTCAGTTGTACCACTTAATCCACAAAGAGAAGGGAAAATTAGACTGCTAGTTCTTATAACCTTAGTTTCTTTTTTTCTAGGTTCTGATCTAGGTGTATGGTGAATTATAATTTTATTTATTGTCATTTCTGAGGTGAAAAAGTGCTATTCAATAAAACACACCAAAACCTTTATATAACTTTGTGATCTCAATTCGGACATGGAGAGCTAGCTTGGTCAGTCACATTCATCAGAAGGCATTCCTCAAGCACATAGCCACTACTGCTCTTAGCTGTGCAGGTTCATGGGAGTGTGCCATGGGAGTGTGTCCTGCAGTAATGCAGGGGCGGGGAAAGGTTAAGAAACACCAGCCTTATTGGCTATATCGTGCCAATATTAGAGCCTGAATGACATAGGAATATACATTTCATTCTTGCAGAAATGTGAGTAGAGGCAAATCCCAAGACTGGTTTAGCCGGCAGAGTGAAATGGTCATCGTAAGCCAAGACAGGAGCATTTCTATGCAGCAGACAGTGGGTGAAAACTTGAACTCACACCCTGCCTTGAAAACTACAAAATGAAACATCACAAGCCAACCTATTTTTCAGTTGTTTCCTACGAGGTTAGCCTGAGTGGGTGACCCGATTGCTGTGTTCAAGGAGTACTGTGGCCAGCTATGGCTATAAAATATGCTTTCAGAAGCACAGGACTGCTTGAAGGTGTTGAGATACTTCGGTGACTGTACTTGATCATGTTACTTTATTTTTTTGGTTTATAAGATAACCATTAGGTAAATGGCTCTACAGGAAGAAAGGAGAACAAAGTATGATGACGAAAAGCAAAATTAAAAATCTCATACTTGTCAGCTATGCAAAATATACTTCATAATAAGTCACTTTTTATTTTTTGTCATTTAAATGACTCCTTGAACAAACTAAAGCAACTGAGTGAATAACAATTTCATATTATATAAAAAAGCTATATGTAAGAATAATACATTTAAAAATAAAGCAAAGAGAACTATTTATGGAAGAACAATGAATGCACTTTGAAAAGGCTACCCATATAGAAATAGCTTCTGAAGAAAGTGCAAAGGTCGAATTGGTTCCTTGTTCCCAAATCCTTAACTTTCATCTGAATTTATAGAATAAGACTGATAGGAAGAAAAAAATTCCTCAAGTAGGGGGTGGGACATTTGTGTACATTCTAGGTCAGCTCTGGAGATTAAGAAATGTGTTCCAGGTAAGACATAGGCAGTGTCAGCATCAAGAAAATGTGACAGTACATGACAAAAGTTGCTATCAACAGGTGATATCCTGATCAAGGGCTATTGCGGGAGCTAAGGGTTGGGTGTGGGTGAGTAAGGGAGTATGCCAGAGACTGCTGTTGGTCTGGCACAGGAATGAATGCTTTATTGAATAACCTAATCCTCCTAACAACTGAAAGGAATCATTGTACAATAAAGAAGGAAGCTCATAGATATTAAAACACCTTACCAAAGAACACACAGATATTGAGACTTTCTTGTCTTCAGAAACTATGCGACCACAGGCATGTGAACAGTGTACAAGGACCAGTCTGTTGGAATTCTGAAAATGCGGCTGATTCGAGATTAGAGTATACCGCAAACGTTACTTTACAGTGCTCAGTAGGCTTTGGGAGATCTGGTTTAAATGTGTTTGTGACAGCAAACCGTGGTTTTCTGTCAGGGGTGGGAGGGGGAAGGGAGTGAAGGAGACTACTGGCTTCTGTTCGTGGAGAACAATATCCAGAGTCAGAACGTGCAGGTGTTCCTGGTTATTCTCCTTCAGATGCTCACATCGTAGCACCACGCCTGACACGCTGGAGATACTTCAGAATTGCTTGTTGTATAACTGAACGAACTTTTTGTTTAGCAGCGAAAGCTGGGGCAAGCGGCGGCAACAGGTATGGAATGCTAACTTTCTTCCCGGGCTCGGTGCTCGGGTCCCCTTCATTTCCTAGCCTGCCACCCCACCAGGCTCTCCGCTCGGCTTCTGGGCTGCACCTGCTCCGACAAGGAAAGGCAGAGCAGACAGCGCCCTGAACGAACCAGAAAAACAGCCCTCCTCGGCTCGGGAGCCCACGACACGGCACCCTGCGGGAGTGGGGGTGCCACTTGATCGAGTGCCCGCCGCAGGCGCCTGCGCCC